TACAGTGTCGTGGGCAAAGAGCCTGGGCTTTGGAGTCAGACAAACCTGGGTTCGGTTTGGCCTCTGCACACTCTCTAGATGTGTGGCCTTGGGAGAGGCACTTCAGTTCTCTACACTTTAGTGTCCCCATACATCAAATGGAAATGATGCCTGCCTCTTAGCGTGGTCATGGCATCTGGGAGGTCCTCAACAGGGGGTTAACTGTGGTCTAAGCATATTGGTGACCCAAAGGGTAGTGTCAAAGTCACACCAAAATGTGTGTCTGTGGGGAGCGGGGGCAGATGACAAAGTCTATTTCCCACCACAGATCTGAATCTACATCAGTAAAGGATATTCTTTCCCAGGTCAAAACTTCTCCAGATTCTTCCCCAAAGTCTAGATACCTTGAAGATTCCATTAACAGAGGCCAGAGGAAAAGCAGACTCGAGAAGTTGGAGGAGAAAGGAGGGGTGATGGCTCTTTGCGCTTCATCAAGCTCTGTGAAAATCTGAGGTGGAACAAAACCATGATCAATCATGTCCTGCTTCTAGAGAAAATCTTAGTGCAAGGGAACTTCAAACTGATTAATGCCCCCAACTCTGGGGACAATTGGGGAGATACAACAACCACTTTTCTAGTTCATAGCCTACAAGGGCTCCATTGGTATGCAGATTTAGCATAGCCCCCCTCTTGCTTGTATTCCCCAGCCCTTGGTCCATTCTGTTCCTTATGCTTCAAATTAAGTAATTCAATATTCCTCAAACGCACTGGGGTGTTCCTGTATTCACAACCCCTCCCCACCACCTAGTCCAGTGACTTTACTTATACTCTTCCCTACAACCTGGGAAACCCTCCCCACACACCTCCACCATTCCGATCCTTACAGGTTTCCACAGCCTTCTGGAAAATTGGGCCTTTTGGGAACACCTTCTTGAGCCTCTGCCTAAAGTCATCCTGCCTCTGCCCCTGAGGACTCAATGGTCAGATGTATGAAATGTGTTTGGCGAGTAGAAGGCACCCAAAACATTTGGACTAATCTCATCTAAAAGGGGGTTGGGGTTTCTGATGATTCACATCAGAACTTTGGACTTGAGGATGGGGGCAAGTAACAAAACACGTTCCTTCTGCAGAAAATGAATGCTATGTATGTCTCCCTTAATGACTAAAGCTACAATCTGCCCAAGATGATCTAGGTTAGTATTTTCCAGCTGCCTAGTTTATTACAGCCGTGTGCCCTGACTTTGAACTCAGGAAGTATGGTTCCTGAATTTCCTCTCTGCCTAAGAGAAGTCGTAAGTTCGGGATGTCCTTGTCATCAAGAACAAGGTATTCCTTGGGGGAAATTACGCTTGACTTCACCTGAGCTCACCCCTGGCTTTCCTGAGCATACCCCCATGCTTCACACCTAACCCCGTACTGCAGAAAGAGTTTTAATTCGTAGTACAGAACTCTGAAACATGTTCTATCTGGGGATTACCCTTTGGGAACCGAGAGCCTGCCAATTAAGCCTCTGCTTCAAAATTATTGCCCCAGATCATCTATAATCACCAGACAGGGACAATGATATCTTTCTGCCTCCCCCCCTGGGATCACCAAGTCTCTGACTTGGTCCTCTGCTAGGAGCCCATTTGTTCATCCCACAAGCATGTACTGACTTCCTAACACGTGCCAGGAACTTATTTTCTTGAGGCTTGCTCTGTCTACTCTCTTTACGGATAGCTCCCGTTTCTTTTGTTCTTAACATTTTTAAAATTATTTATTTTTTTAATCTTTAAAAAACATTTATTTATTTTAGAGAGAGAGAGCACAGGCAGGAGGGGCAGAGGGAGAGAGAATCTCAGGCACACTCCACGCCAAGCGTGGAGCCCAATGCGGGGCTTGATCCCAAGACCCCAAGATCGTGACCTGAGCCGAAACCAAGAGTCGGATGCTCAACCGACTGCACCACCCAGGCGCCCCCGTTTCTTCTCCTGAAAGACACTATCGCTGCTCTTGGCAAAAGGGAACAGAAGACCCCTCAGAGATGGTTTTTTTTTTTTTTTTCCCTCCTTTTAGTTCTCACGCTCAAGATGTGCTCTCTATAGGCTTCTCCAGATTGCATTCTGTAATTCTCAGTATTTTAAAATTGCATGCTAGGGAGTTTCCTTTTGATAACGTTCGGAGTCTGTGGGAAAGAACACCCATATTCTTTTTTTTTTTTCCTTTGGTAGCCTCTCCAATTACTCAAGTGAAAACTCAGCTACAGAGAAACGCTGGGTCACTCCAGCTCAGCCTGCCTGCCCCCCGAAACCTGAAGCACTTATGGTCTGTTTTGCATTTGCAGACTTTAATGTCCAGCACTGTTGCCTCCCTCACTCACACCGATTTAGCCAGCCCCTTCCACGAATGAGCTGCTGCTACAGGCTCTTGAGGGAGATGGAGATACTGACACGTTCCCAACATTAACTGATTGGTTAAGAATCATTGATCGCCTACTATATACCAGGTACTAGGATAAGCTGTGGGATAAAGGGATTGGCCGAAACGGGCGTGGCCCTTCCCCTCATGGACCTTATTAGGGAAAGAGGCGGACAGACATCACGTGGGTCGCGTTCCCAGCTATCACACAGCACATGGTAGGTAGCCAGTGAGTATTTGTTGAACGAGTGCAAGTCAACAGCCGAATATGTAACAGCAAATTGTGAGAAGTGCCAGGAGTTGAAAACAGGAAATGATAGAATAGGGGAGAGAGAGAAAAAAAACGCTGCACAGAAGGCCTGTCTGAGAAAGTGGACACTTAAACCGAGACCTGAAGGATGAGGATGAGGCAGCCATGCCCAAACTGGAGGTGTGAGCATTCTAGAAGAGGGAACAGTATGGGTAAAGGCTCGGGGGGAAGAGCCTGACGTGTTTCCGTGGGAAGACCACAGTGAGCGAGGGGAAAAGAGATCTGATGAAAAGCGGCAAGACACAAAGCAGAGGAAGTAGGGAGGATGGATTTTATTCTAAGTGCAGTGAGAAGTCACTGAAGGGCTTTCAGCAGGGAGTTACATAATCTGATTTGTATTTTTTTTTTTTAATCTGGCTGTCGTGGTAAGACAGTTGTGGGAACGAGAGTGGAAGCAAGGACACCAGTTAGGAGCCGCAAAAACATCTATGGGAGCCGATGGTTGTTTGGACTAAGGTGGCTGTGGTAAAAGTCAGTGAAGCCAGGATACACTTTGGCGATAGAACGGACAGACTTTCTGACAGACTGGATGTGGGGACTACAAAAGAGGAAAATTTAAGGATGACTTCCAGGTTTCTAGCTTATGTGACTGGGTGGGTGGAGGTGCCATTTTCTAAAATGAGGAAAACTGGGGGAAGGAACAGTCCCAGGGTGTGTGTGTCACTGTTTATTTTTAACACGTTTTATTTGAAATGCCTGTGAGACATGGAAATGTAAATGCCAAGTAGGCAGCTATATATTTGAATCTAGAGCTTTCTAATAGGAAGACAGGACAAGGAAGTTTATGATAAAAAGCCTTGCGACACAAAACACGTGTTCAAAGAAAACATTATGACTGCCTGGGTTAATTGGGGGAACTTGGGCGGGGGAAAGGTTGACATTTGAGCCAAAGGAAAGATGATGAGGGAGAACGTTCCAGGTAAAAAGAACGGAATAGCAAAGGTGGAGGAGAAAATCTCCAGGCAGGTTCGGAAACTGAGAAACAGTGCAGCTTAGATGGAATGAGGTTTGTGTTTGGAATGTTAAAAGAGGAGTCTGGAGAGCACAGGGACGGCCACGGGGGTCTCTGTACCGCGCTTGCTCGGACACTGGGAGCACTAGCATGTCTCTGAGCAGAGGCATAACCTGGGGAGGTCATTGAAAGCAGTTTCGTGACAGTGAGTAGAGTGGATGGAAGGAGTGTGAACAGGAGGAAAGCGAGGCCAGTTAAGAGCCGATTTCAATTTTCCAGGCATGAGATAATAAGGGCCTAAATGGATTGTGGAAATGAAAAGTTAAAGTGTAAATAGGAGGGACATTTGAAAGGACAGTTACGATCCTGTGAACCTAACTGGACAGCCAGGAGGAGGCACCCACTTTTTTCTTCCGCTGTCTTTTGCCTCCACACACTACATAAGCTCTGGTTAACGCTGGGGGACACTTCTGAATCTCTCCACCGTGGCTTTTAACATTGGTTCAAGGGGCCTCCCGCTGGTGTGGTTTCACTGCAAATAGGTATCAGAGGTAGCTCCGGCGTCGCAGTAGACGGACTCGCACACCTAACTTGCTGGAAGCAGCAGTACGGGGCTGGGCCTAGGAAATGGGCCGAGAGCAAGCACTAGGAAGAGGAGTTACATTTTTCCAACTTTTTTCAACTTTTTTCCCCAACTGTTTTCTTTTTAAAGCCCAATTGCCCATATTCCTTCCTGCTTTGCTCCTCACTCACCCAACGTGTGTGCGCATGCGCACGTGCACACACACACACACACACACACACACACACACACACAGGCACGCACCACTCACACATGCTCACTCTCCCCCTCTCAGGCTGAACCTTCAATGCTCCGAATTTTTTTCCATATTGTCCATATCTGTGCCAAGTCCCAGCTTTTCACAGCTCCCTTCTGAAGAATAAGTATCATTGAGAGGATAGCTGAAAATGCCGCCCCCCCCCCCTTCTCAGCAATGTTTATATTTATTTAGACAACGGGGGCCTTCCTAGTCCAAATGTCCCGCATGAGAACTAACCAGGCTGCAGGCTAGAGGTGCAGGGCGGTGAGGGCCCGGGGGCGGGGGCAACTGTCAGCACTCATTCTGATGCTGAAGCCTGGCTCGGACCTCCCCCCCTCGGCCTTACGGTCTCCCTGGAAGACCTGTGATGGGCCTCCTCTCCAAGGAGGTAAAATAAGCTTGGGAGAGTCTTCCAAAGTAACTCTGCAGGGGAAAACAGAATATCCGAAACATTCTTCTGCACTACCTGATCTATTGCGATTGCTTGATCCCACCGCCACCCCCATCCCCTGTGATTCTTTCTCCTTTACTTCTTCTTTTTCACTGCTGGTATATCTTTATGTGTTCATTGTTCAATGTCTTGTGAAGAGTACCTTGAACTCTTTGGAGAGTACGCGCTATATAAATATAATAAAGCAATGGATAAATAAAATGTCTACTTTTACAAGAGTGTAGGTTTTACAATTTCTGATAATATGAGACCAACCCCTTACTCAGCACTAGCCTGAGGAAGTAGGTAGGTGGTGAATTGTGAAGGGTATCAAACAGATCTCCCTGCTCTAAAAGAGCTCCCCCACTTCCTGAAATCCTAGTTTGGTGGCACATATTTTTTGAATTTGAGCCCTGAAGATTTCTTTTTTTCAAGAATTCCTTATTGACATGCAAATGCCACGTGAGCGTGAGTAGATGGGTCATGATTTAACCTCAGTTCCATTTACATTAACCCATCACTTCTACCAAACGTCTTTTTCACATTCCAGCTTTTTCCACGCTTTTGTTCATGCTATTCTTCCAGAGGTAATGCTAAATATAACATGAACTGTAAATATAAAATTACCTTATATGTTCAACAGAGTCTCTCAACTGGTATCTGAATCCAAACCTACTCATTCTTTTGAAAAACAATTTATTTTTTCCAATGTAAGAAGAATAATGGGTTTATTATAGAAAATTTGAAAAAGGCAGGAAGATAGCAAGAAGAAAAAAATATCAACCATAATCCTACCCCCTAAAGAACCACCACTGTCGCCATTGTTGACAGTGTGGTCATGATCGTTCTTGAAACAAATCTTAGTTTAGGTCCCATTTCTGATGTGATGCCTTCCTTCAACTGCCTCCCCCAGAACTTCTCTATCATGTTTGTACCACTCACTTGTAACAGTTAGTTAACTTGGTGTGTGTCCTGCACTTCCAACTAGGTTGTTAGATCCTTGAAGGCTGCAACCGTGAATTATACTTCTTAATTTATCCCCAAACATCTACCACACTGGACCCAGTATTTGCCGACTGATTTAACCTAAATGAATACAAACCATTTCAGAAAGGATATAAAACAGGCCAAGTTGTCTACATCATGAAAATTAAAGCTTTCAGGTCACCTGGCTTGGTGACTATTGCTTTTCTGTTCCTGGAACTCCCGAAAGCCTATTAACTAGCCTCCTTCTCCACACCAAAACTGAGTAAGAAGCAGACTGAGTGAGAGCCAGGATTTACTCAAAGATTCTCCATATAAGGCATAAAGGTGAGAGAGAGAGAGAGAAAGGGAGGGGGGCAGAGAGGGGGAGAGGGAGAGAGAGGAAGGGAGAAGACAAGACAAGAGAAGAGTAGGGTAGAGTAGGGTAGGGTAGGGTATAGAAGGGTATATAGAGTATATAGTCCGGTGCTCAATCCAGTATGTGATTTGCCTCCAGCACCGTATACAGGATCCCATCCACTTGCTCTGAGTCAAACCCGATCTCACGAAGCTCCAAGTGAGGGAGGACAGAAGTAAGGAGATAGCTGACGTGGATACGCAGCCGCGTAAGCTTTGCCAAAGCCCTGTATGATGGAGTGAGGGGGCAGAAGAGATGACATGAAGTCATTAGCCAACAGAACAAAATGAAGCTCCTTAAAAATGGGCCTACGTCTCTCAACAATGATGTGTCCATTAGCTAGACAGAAAGAAGAAAGCACGGTGCCACCAAGCACAGGCAGACTGACTGCAGCTCTCTAAGCAATTCCTCGCTCCTTGGTGGCCTATAAATTAATTAAGGCTTCCTCCCTTAGCTATGGCCAGTCACTGGGGGTCCTAAGGGATGCTTCCCATTAGCACTCCCAAGCTGATAACTAAACCCTGGGAATTAACCTTTCTAGGTCATCTCCCTCTGGGGTCCGGTAGGAGACCTGAGCCTTCTGCAGCACTTCCAGGTGCGTCTCTGTCTCCTTCAGTTTCTCTTTGAGTTCCTGCTTTTCTTCCTTGGTCCTCTCCAGCTCAGCTTTCAGAATCTGGAATTCGGCTTGGCGATAGCCCATGTGCTTCTTGCTCCAGTACAAGCCTTCCGTCTCCTGGGCGGTGTAGGTCCCCAGCTCGCTCTGGACTTTCTTGAACTCAGAATGCCAGTGATTCCTCTCCTGCTCCAGCTCCTCCACCTGCAGCCCAAGAAACAGAAATTCAATGAGCCCCGCGTGCTAGGCGCGCACTGAAACGGGTCCCTGATACATTCACTCTGCGGTTCCTCCGTACACGTTCCACTCAGGGCCCTGCTCGATCCCCAGACAGGGGTGGGAAGCCCACTCGGGGGCATTCAATCTGAGACACCACACAGAACGAGTCGATGGCTTCTGCTGTGTAAAGGCCTCAGAGCAGGAAACGGTCAAGAGCTGCGACTCTCTGGTCTCTTGGTTAAAAGGATCTCTTATTCCCAGTGGAAAGGTGTTGCCCTAACCTTTTGCTGGAACAAGTTCCGCTCAGCCAAAACGCGTTCCAGTTTCTCGGTGGTTCTTTTCAGTTCTTCCAGCTCTCTTTGGTTCTTCATCTTTGGCGTACTGCGCCCTCCGCTCTCCTCATAACCTCGGCCCTTCTCCCCAGCGGCTGTGGCGGGGGGGGGACCAGGGGCCACGGAGGAATAAGGCACCGGGCTCCAGGATTCCACTGTTTTTCTCCTCTCAGCCAGCTCCTCTCTGTTAAAAGGGATCAGCTGAATGGGAGCTCCTGAATCTCTAACGCCTTTTGCAACACCGACAACAGCTACAAAAGGTCCCTTGTTTACTTCCTCCTTGTTTACATTTGTGCTGCCTCTGTTAGATTCTTCTGCTACCAATCTTGGCATCTGATCTTCTAATTCTTCAGGGAGCAGGGACCCCTGGTGTTGGTCCTGGGCCCCTGAATACAGGACTGACACCTCCCTACTCTGACTGGTATTCTTGCTTGCGTCTGGGTATTCTGGAGAAAGGTATGGTGGTGTGCTTCTCTCGGAACTGGATTTATCATGGCTGTTCTCCCCTTCTGGGTAGGCGACAGGTGCCTCCACCCTCCTGTAAGGGCCAGGCATGGAATAATCTAGAGGAGGTGTTGTCATCTCATTCTGGAGCCTTCTTCGTTTCTCCACCGGCTCCTCTCCCAGGATCCATTTGTACTTACTGCAAGAAGAGGGAATTAAATGTTAAACTGTCAAAATACAAGCTAGGTATATTCTGATCCTATGGAGCCTCTCTCCAAACTTCCCGCGTTTAAAACTGACTCTAGCTGTTATCCACAGATCATTTCGGGTTAGGAAAATACAACTCTACCCCCGAACTCCAAACCCTTCCCTCATGCACCTTGCTGAGACAGCAACCAGTCTGAATGGAGAGATGAAATCAAAAGGTACGAGAGTCAGTGTCTGGATATAACAAGACCAAGTTGATCTTGGTAAGAATTCTGAAAATAGGATTGAAACTAGCCTGACTTGGAAGTTTCCGAAATGCAAGGAAAAGCAGCAAAACAACCACACACACACACACACACACACACACACACACGCACACGCACACGCACACGCAAAATCCCCTAACACGAGAATGGAAAAAAAGGTCATAAAAAGCCTAGTAGAGTATGCGGAGGAAAGCTGAGCCAGCTCGTTAATTTTGAAGTGTCACAAAAACCTCCCAGCATCAAAGACTTAGGCACATTTTTTATATTGCAACAGAACACCATGCAGTTCCTTTGCCAGCCAACCGGATTGTGGCTATTGCCCATTATTCACTTGTAAAAGTTAATTAAAACACAGGGCCCTAGTCAGAATCAAACAAGTGGACTCGGCCAATTCGAGTCATTTCCCTCTTAGGGCAAAAGAACTCCCCTCTGTCAGGGCAAACAGTCACTCCCTCATTTCATCAGGAAAGTGCAGGAGAGTAAGCGCAAATCGCCTTCCATTTCTGGCTGCTATATGCACTAAGTGTTGAAGGAACTAATGAAATGACTGGTGCCTGTGAAATCCACAGACAATTTAAAATCCTGCAGTAGGATGGGACACCTCCCCACCCACCCCGGCTCATTTTTACCCCTGTAACTCTTTTGTCCTCCCTGCAGAAAACCCAGAAATTTCAAGGTAAAAACCAAATTTCAAATTTTCAATGAGAAAGAGTCAAGCATGTTATCTATCAGCCACCTCACAGTATTTCAAGGCTGCCCACTTTTCTCTGCAAGTTCTGAGAACGTCTGTAAGACATCTCAAACCTTAGCTTCTCACAGCCCCCTGAATGTTCTTCGAAACTAGTGTTCACCCAGAAATAAAACCGGTCTGCCTCCTCATAGGTCTTGCTGTGTCAACCTTAGTGGGAAAGCAAAAGTATTTAGGGCCAATGTGAGAACAAATGTATTCAACTAGAACAGGGCCACTGCAGAGGGTCCCATTTAGCTGTGGTGTGGAGGAAGAGAGTCAGTCCCTTCAGAGGGATGAAGGAAGGGTATGTGATACCAGATAGCGACACTAAACTTCTGTGAAAGGCTATTAGAGTCAAATCATCTGCCTTCTCTTTGTTTCCCCACCTCCAAGGGTTCTGTCCTTATTTCTCTCCCCATATTTCTTTTCTTTGGTAATCTCATACCACCTCTTGGCTATAACCTCTGGTCATTCTCCCAGCGCTGATCTCTACTGAATTTCCAGTTGCCCAGCACACATTCCTTCCTCGTGGTCCCACCGGTGTCTCAGGATGTAGAAAACTGGCCTTCCGTTGTCAAGGTCAAACCTGTTTCCTCTCCTATGTCCCATTTGTGTTATGACACCGGCAAACTCTCAGTATTCTTATCTAGTTCTACTACTATCAGTACTCAGGTTTGACCTCACGTTCCCTCTCCTGAGCTCTTGCAATGGCTTCCCCCAGTCTCCCCTTCTCTCACCTCCAGACTGCCCGCTGCCAAGTTAATAATCTTCCCAAGGTGTTGCCCTGATTGTGTTACACCCTCATTTGAAATCTTTATTTATTGCTCCCCACAACATGAAAGCTCAAATGCCTTAGCTTGGTATTCCATTCCCAAACGTAAGAAACATTTATATTGAGCACCTACTCTGCCAGACAGTGTGATAAGCGCTTAATGTGTTATGGTCTCATTCAGTTTTCCCAACAACCCCAAGGTAAGTGGTAGTATGTTTATGTGCATTTGTTAAAGAGGATGCTCAGACATAGAGAAGTTAACTTTCTCAAGGTCATGTGGCTAGTCAGGGGCAGGGCTGGGACATCGCTGGGCCCCAGCTTTCTGTCTCATTACTTCCCTTCAAAAACACCAGCCGAAAGAAATGCCCATGATTTCTCATGCTGCTTCTTTTGATTGGAATGCCCTTCTCCTACCCAACACCACGCGTCCAAGACTGGCTCAAGTGCTACTTCTGACTTCCTACCGCACCTTAGCGCTCGATTATAATCTACATCGCTTTTTACCGTGTGCGTGTGTGTGTCTCATAAGTTCCCTCCTAAAATACTAAAGTACAGGCTCCTTGACAGAAGAGAGCTTAACTAACTGCGGGATGGGAAGGAAGGGACAAAACTGCACAGAAGAGGAAATCAAAAAGAAACTATCGTGTGAACGAGAGAAAAAGAAGTGGATTTTACTTAGTGGCTCTAGAAGTACCTACTAGCTCTGTAAGTAAAGGTCTGGTTCTTCCCTTTAGGGATTGATTTTTTTTTTTTTAAGATTTTATTTATTTGAGAGAGAGAGAGCACATGAGAGGGGGGAGGGTCAGAGGGAGAAGCAGGCTCCCCACTGAGCCGGGAGCCCGATGTGGGACTCGATCCCGGGACTCCGGGATCGTGACCTGAGCCGAAGGCAGTCGCTTAACCAACTGAGCCACCCAGGCGCCCTAGGGATTGATTCTTATTCCAGGCCTGTATTCACTCATTTAGTAAGGACTGACTGTGGGTTTATACACCAGGAATTCTTTTCCAACTATATAACTAGTTCCTTCTTTTTTTTTTTTTTTTAAAGATTTTATTTACTTATTTGAGAGAGAGAGAAAGTGCATGCGAGAGAGAGCATAAGCAGGGGAAGTTGCAGAGGGAGAGGGAGAAGCAGACTCCCCACCGATTTGGGACTCCATCCCGGGACTCCAGGATCATGACCTGAGCTGAAGGCAGACACTTAACCGACTGAGCCACCCAGGCGTCCCATCTTCTCATTTTCTTTCTTTTTGTCATACTCCTCAATTGTCTGTCTGCAGAGGAGCCAGTTGATATTTTGATAGGAGACTGCATCGAATCTATAGCTCGATTTGGGGAATACTGCCATCTTAACATTATATCTTTTTTTTTTAAATAAAATCTTTTTTTTTTTTTAAAGATTTTATTTATTTATTTGACAGAGAGAGACACAGCAAGAGAGGGAATACAAGCAGGGGGAGTAGGAGAGGGAGAAGCAGTCTTCCTGCGGAGCAGGGAGCCCCATGCATGGCTCGATCCCAGGACCCTGGGATCATGTCCTGAGCCGAAGGCAGACACTTAACGACTGAGCCACCCAGGCACCCCAACACTGTATCTTCTGATCCATAAACACGGCATGTCTTTCCATTTATTCAGGTCTTCTTTAATCTCATTCAATAATATTTTATAGTTTTCAGTTTACAAGGTGTCCTTGCACTTCTGTTAAATTTATTCCGAAAGACTTCATTTTTGAAGCTACTGTAAATGGAATCATTTTACTGTTTTCTTAAATTTTTTAGTGGCTATTTATTTATTTGAAGTATGGTTAACATACAGTGCTCTATTAGCTTCAGGTGTACAATATAGTGATTCAACAGTTCTATCTATTACTCAGTGCTCATCACCATAAGTGTACTCTTAATCCCCTTTATCTATTTCACCCATCCCCCCATACACCTCCCCTTTGGCAACCACCAGTTTGTTCTCTTTATTTAAGAGTCTGTTTTTTTGTTTGATTCTTTTTCTTTGCCTCTTGTTTTCAATTTGTTCGCTTGTTTTGTTTCTTAAAGTCCACATATGAGTGAAATCATATGGTATTTGTCTCTTTTTATCTGACATTTCACTTAGCATTATACCCTCTAGTGTTGCAAATGGCAAGATTTCATTCTTTTTATGGCGGAGTAATACTCCACTGTGTGTGTGTGTACACAACATCTTCCTTATCTATTCATCTATCAATGAACACTTGGGCTGCTTCCATATCTTGGCTACTGTAAATAATGCTGCAGTAAACACAGGGCTGCATATGATCTATTCAAATTAGTGTTTTCATTTTCTTTCTGTAAATACCAGCAGTGGGGTTACTGGATCAAATGGTAATCCTATTTTCAACTTTTTGAGGAACCTCCATACTCTTTTCCAGAGTGGCTGCACCAGTTTGCATTCCCACCAACAGTGAGAGAGGGTTCCCCTTTCTCCACATCCTCACCAACACCTGTTGTTTCTTGTGTTGTTGATTTTAGCCATTCTGGCAGGTATGAGGTGGTATCTCACTCTAGTTTTGATTTGCCTTTTCTGATGATCAGTGATGTTGACCATCTTTTCATGTGTCTGTTGGCTATTTGTATGAGAAATGTCTATTCAGGCCCTTTGCCCATTTTTTAACCAAATTTTTTTGTGTTTTTTTTTTTATGTTGTGTTAAGTTCTTCATATATTTTGGATATTAACACCTTATTGGACATATAATTTGCAAATATCTTCTCCCATTCAGTAGGTTGCTTTGTCATTTTGTTGATGGTCTCCTTCACTATGCAAAAGCTTTTTATTTTGTTATTTAATTTCCACATATTGTGAATTTCCTAAATTTCCTTCTGTTGTTGATTTCTACTTTAATTCCACTGGGACTGGAGTACATCTTTTGTATGCTAGAAATCCTTTCAATTTATTGAAGCTTGTTTTCTGGTGTAACATATGGTCTATCCTGCAGAAGATTCCACGTACACTTGAGAAGAATATGAAGTGTTCTACACATTTCTGCTAGGTCCAGTTGGTTTATGGCATTCTTCAAATCTTCTGTTTCCTTGTTGATCTTCTACCCATAATGGAAGGTGGGCCATTGAAGTCTTATTGATACCTATTTCTTCTGTCGACTCTGTCTGCTTTTGCTTCATGTATTTGGGGGGCTCTATTTGTTAGGTCCACATATAGGCATAATTATTACATCTTCCTGATGAACTCTGTCATTATAAAATGTCC